AAATGTTGACATCCCTTTAAAAGTATTTTTGTAAAGAATCATCAATATCAACTATTTTTCCCGTACCATCAAATAACTTTCGTGTGGCATTGATTTTGTGATTCTAGTTGGTCTCCATACCTCTCCTATTCTACTTGATTCCCTCACTTCTTCCACCTCCTACCATAATTAGTTGTGACCACAATTCTAAGAACCTATAGCAATGTTTCTTAATCCATTTTTCGGGTTCAAAGAGCTATCAATTCTATATCCTAAAAAAAAAAGGCCACACAGTCAAAATTCAATATATTCCCATTTCATAAAGGCCAGAGATAGGTAGAATGAATCTAACATTAATTAGGTCAGACAGTGTCCTATGAGGGGAGATGGCAACTGGGGGTTGGGAACATGAAGAAGGCCTCTGCAATGCTGCTAATACTCTATTTACTGATCTCAGTACTGTTCGTTCATGTGCTCCCCCCCTTTGTAAAAATTCATTGAGCTATATCATTATAGTCTGTGTACTTCTCTATATGTTTGTAATATTCCCTCTGGTGGAAAAGGTGGTAATTACTGCATAGTTAACGACTTTTCCACCCTTGGTTAGGAACTGATGAGAGGAGAAGTGGTTCTCTTAGGGTATCTGGGAAAGATGCAGACATAGCAATGACTGGGTATGGGAGGAGGGCCGAGGTTAACTCTCCCATAATCCTTACTGTTCACCTGGTACCCATAAATAACAATCTTTTCATATTCTTTGACATGGACAATTTACACTTTCCTGATCTAATTTAACGTTAATAAAACTGTCACTAGAAAAACAAAACCCTCCAAAGTCTATCAACAAGGGGCAAGAAGCAAAATCGGCTTCATAAAATCCTCCTAGAAAATCTTATTCTGCCTCACTCATATTTGTTTTTTCCTTTCGGCCTCCTGTGATTATTCTGACAAGGCTGAGCTTTACACCACGCTGATTCAGATCAATGGTGGGTTTGACCTACTTGCCAGAAAGCAGGAGGTGGATGTTATGAGGCCACCATACGAGTTTTTAATCACAGACACCTATCAAAATATAGACATGTGACTTCATTATTAGGCTGAAGCTGCAGAAATGGGGGTATTGGCCCACACATCTAATATACCACCATAGTACCCCACATTTCTAAAAACAGGTATCTGGGATTTGGAAAACAGTCAGTTAAGACCATGGGAACAAGGGTGTCTGGGTGGCTCAGTCAGTTAAGCGTCTGACTTCAGCTCAGGTCATGATCTCACAGTTTGTGAGTTCGAGTCCCGCGTCAGTCTTGGAGCCTGCTTCGGATTCTGTCTCCCTCTCTGCCCCTCCCCTGCTCACGCTCTGTCTCGTTCTGTCTCTTTCTCTCTTTCAAAAAGAAAATAAACATTAAAAAAAAAGTATGGAAACAGAGTTATGGAATCACTATGTTGCATAATAAAAGTAATGTAACATTGTGGATCAACTATATTTCAGCAATAAAAAATATATATAATATAGGATATAATATACCACTCTCAATATAACATTGAAGTCAGAAATCAGTGGGGATAGTTCAGATGATTTAAAAAATAAGGTTGGAGAAACTGGCTAACCAAATAAGATTTTTTTCCCTCAACTAAAGAAAAAAAAAAAGTATGGGAGTACAAAGTACGGAGTCTTCCTAAAATGTATTCCTCTTTAATCTCGAGTCCATAACCAAAGCTGAGACCCCACTGTCATGGGCGGTGCCCATCCTACAATTCCCTGACTGGGTCTTCAACCTGCCTCAGTCTGATGTCCAGACTGAGCACACCCCCAAGTCAGAACCTGCCAGTCCTCAGAGCAGAGGTAATCCGTTCATCTAAAATGTGAGGCTCAATCGAAGTCACTCAAAACCTTATGGGAAGAGAGAGCAGCGTGACTGCAACAATATATTCATTTATCAACAAATATTTGTTGAATCTCTCATACTCCCACACATTCTCTAGGCACACCGAGCTTCCATTCTGCAAGCTTATATTCACCTGAACAAGAAAAATTAGTCACATTTTCTGTCTTCCCAAAGAGCGGAACCAATAGGAAGACTCAATGTAACTCTTTACTACTTAGGAAGGAATAACAGATCTTTTTTTTTGCCTCCTTTTTGCTTCTCTCAACCTCCTAACATATGCTCAAATCATCATGTATTATTTTCATAGCAATAAAAAACACTTCGGACTTCTTTATGAAAAGTCAACCCTGATAAATACGGAGTGGCCCCTCTCAGAGTTGAAACAAAGACCGACGAACATTTATGAAGACGGTGTAGACAGCTGAGTGCATTTGGTAAGGATCAGACATAAAGTCACTGAGGATGTTCGCCTCAGCTCTGTCCTTCCTCAGGATCTCTTCCTCCCCTTGCTCCTCTCTTGGTGTCTACATCAGTCTCCCTTCCTTCCATTTCAAATGTGTGAACAGCTCATTTTGTCCTCAGCTGGAGAAGATTCTCTACACATTCATGTTTTATTGCATAATTATAAGGTATTACATTGTAGATACGGCATTAAATAAACAAATACAAACCAACCAAGCGGTGGTCCACAAACCATACTCGGCTTTTCAAAACCTGTGTTTTCTCCTTTCTAATTCTGGTTTTCTGCTTTTCTGACAAAAATGTGAGAAAAAATAGGAATCACGTTTAGTCACCTATATCCAATTAGCATAGCCGGTTACGGTTTGTATTTAATGAGATTTACTCTAAGGATTCAATTCCCACACGGGGCAGTTAGTTTACTCAGCTCCCTATTAGACACTCTACCCAGGCCAGCCTTGTCCCTAAGTATCTGAGTATGAATCATTGCAGACGCATTATTATAATGAGAAAAGTAACAGAAAGTACATCTTAGTATTGAACATCTTCATATATGGGCAAATGGTTCTTAGATAAAATCATGTAAATCTTTTTGGAAGTCTTCCATAAGATTACCGATAAATGTGTTAAGAATATTAGAAATGATTATTTTGAAATCTGGGCAAAAATGATGATACTCACTCCACCACCCTGATCACCGGTTTTGCTTCTAAATGTGAATGAAAGTTCACATTTCTCTCTCTTATTAGGGTGTTCTAATGTTCTCTTATGAGCGTCCAACCCAATCCAATAAAAGCAATCGGCAGGGAAATCTGTATTTTTTTCACAAGCATTCTAGATGGTTCTGACGGTCAGAGCAGAGTTGGGAAGCACTGTGTTACTATCTGTTCACAGCTCTGGTTCATGTAATTATGTTCATGAGCTGCACCTACCCGTAGGGAAACAGCACTCAGTACCAGATCCCTCGCCAGCAAGCCAGCTACGGGCATGAAATGCAATCTCCAGGTCCTAATCTTGGCCTCCTGGGTATCATGCTCTGCCCTGAACCAACTGGCCCAGGCGCTTTTTAGAGTATTTTTCATACACTGTCCATGTCAGGTCTTAGGGAATATGGTCAGAGGAATCCATAAAGTTAAAAAATAAAGAACCATAAAGTGTTAAGAATTTAAATTGTTTCCTAGGCTGTCTCTACTGCCATAGTTCTTGATAATTCATCCGGGCCCTAGACATTAGTATGCCCCGTCTCAGAGGAAACATGCTTTCCTCCTGTAAGCAACGGGCTGCTTTCAAAAAGCAGCTCCAACAGAAGGCTGAAGTTAAAAATTCTGATGCCATAAAGATGTATTTTACCTCATTTCAAACTACATATATTTAATTCACACCTGCGATTTGTTGAATCATAATATTTTTATTTTATTTTTTGCAGCAAGGAAGTGATTTCTCAAACTATAAACATTTCAGTACATTTAATAACACATATGATAGAAGCGGAACTAAATTTCACAGCTAGTCTACTCATATCTGGACTATAAATTCTTATGTTTGCCAGGAGGTTGAACCATAAACATGTTGGCAATGAGCTGGATTTAAATTTGCTTTCATCAAACGTATTCCCTTGTCTAAAAATAGCTCACCATGCAAAGATCTGGGAAATCAGACAGTACAGATACCAAATCATTAAGAAGTAAGTTATTGGGGTGCCTGGGTGGCTCAGTAGGTTGAGCGTCTGACTTCAGCACAGGTCATGATTTCGTGGTGAGTCAGAGCCGCATGTCGGGCTCTGTGCTGACAGCTCAGAGCCTGACGCTTGCTTCTGATTCTGTGTCTCTCCATCTCTTGGCCCCTCCCCTGCTCGTGCTCTGTGTCTCTCTGTCTCTCAGTAACAAATAAATGTTAAAGAAATAAAAATAAAATAAAATAAAAATAAACATTAAAAAAAAGAAATAAGTAACTTATCTCCTAAAATATGTGGGTGCATAATACAGAAGTAACAAAGTTAAATTATATTTAGCTTTACTTAACACTAATACAAAAGTCTTGCTTCTACAACAGAATGTATCATTTGTTTACAAGGCCAGTTTTCACTCATTTAAACTGAATAACAACTCAAATAATCATTACTGGTTTTATTTTAGTCAGTGTTCAAAGTCCCCCTAGATACAAATATTTGATAATGCTACTTAATGAGACTTTTCAAGTAGCAGAGGGACTGTTAAATAATACGATTGGCCAGGGCACCTGGGTGGCTCAGTCAGTTTAGCGTCCAACTTCAGCTCAGGTCATGATCCCAGGGTTTGTGAGTCCCAGCCCCACATCAGGCTGTCTGCTCTCAGCACAGAGCCTATTTCAGACCCTCTGTCTCTCTCTCTCTCTGCCCCTCTCCCCCCTGTTCCACTCACGCATGTGCACGCTCTCTCTCTCTCTCAAAAATAAACTTTAAGCATAAATGAATACATAAATAAGCACATAAATAAATAACATGGTTGGCCTACTTATTCTAAGAGATACATTCAAAACAAAGAAATAGTATTAACATGGCAGAGCAGGTCTCTCACTGAGGTGGTTTTCTGTTCACTTCGAAGTAAAATTAATAGTCATCATTTACCAAGGAGAGAAGAAAACCAACCCAAGAATAGAATTAGTGGTATTTTTGACACTGACTAGAAGAAAGCATACCTTTCCCTCTCTCCTTCCGTGGTATCGTATAGGCGGTTAGCACCTCCATCAGCACAGGCTCTTAAAAGAGCTTCAAATAGAAAAAACAAAGAGTATTTCAATATAAGAAGCTTAGAGCAGCACCACATAAATGATAAACATCACAAAGTAGGCACTCAGACATACACAATGTCAATGCTTCCTTCCCGCTTTGGACCTGTCACATTCAGCCCGTGACCTCTGTACGACATACCGCAAGGGATCCTGCATAGCACACGGTCAAGTTAGACAGAATCACCTAAGACAGTGTTTCTTTTTTGCATCTTTTTAAATTCCTCCTATAAAATCAAAGGGGAGGAGTGTATTGGGCATCTTCAATCTCTCTCAAAGCTTATTTTTTCTTCTTTACAAGAGAAGATAGGATTCATGCTCAACAGGAGACAAAGGACATAGTTGTCACTTCGTTCCCTTCCTCGATTAATTTCACAGATGTGTTCTATTGATGGCAGGTATGGGTTTCCATATGTTGTTGTGATATAACCATTTTCTTTAAAAATAAAATCATAAACATAATGTCATAAGGCTGTTTTAAATTATTAAGTAACAATCTAGGTAATGTGTGCACACAGTAAAAATTATGAGATGGCACAAAAGTAAAATTCGGGAAATACCAAGACATTCGAGTAAGACTGGCTGTCTCTCCAACCGGGACTTTTATGTCTTGCTTTCACTCTAGGATTTGGAGCTACTGAGCAGTCGTTCCTTGAAATTCTCTTAGCCCAGGAACGACCATTTTCTTGTCATTACTGCTCTCATTTCCATTTTTCCCAGAAATGTTCAGTATCTTATCATCAGTTCCTTCTCTTCTTCTTTTTAAAATATTCTTGGGGTGCCTTGGTGGCTCAATCGGTTAAGCGTCTGACTTCGGCTCAGGTTATGATCTCACAGTTAGTGGGTTCGAGCCCCGCGTCGGGCTCTGTGCTGACAGCTCAGAGCCTGGAGCCTGCTTTGGACTCTGTGACTCCCTCTCTCTCTGCCCCTCCCCTGCTCATGCTGTCTGTCTCTCAAAAAATAAATAAACTTAAAAATTTTTATAAATAAATAGATAGATAGATAGATAGATAGATAGATAGATATTCTTTACCAAAAGGTTTCAGGTCAAATTTTATTTTTTATCTTGGGCAAGGACAGTGAATGCGGATATGTCCAAGAATCCAATTCCTCATCTCGAACAAACCAAAGCTTGTCTCTGTCCCCACACGGCTGTTAAAACCAAAGTCACTAGGGCCACAAAGATCAGCAAAGACCCTAGGCACCAGCACCTTCAGAAGAAACACTACTCTTTGGAGCTACTGCATCATTTTCTGGCACTTACAAAATCCCTTCCCTTCTCATTTTACCAATTATTGACAATATATATTTCCTTAGGAGGAAGGACACCCAAATTCAAATAAGCCACAAACATAACTTCAAGAAGATCACAGAATATTCTGCACACTTTCTAAATATCGAAACCCCAAAGTTCAAAACCATCAAAAACTACACTGGGTCTCATATATAAAACATGGCATACAACAACTGAATAGGAAGACAGAAGAGACTGATTAAAATAGAGACAGATGGTAAACTATCAGTAATTACCCTCTGAGTACATAAAACAATTATCTTTATACAAAATTAACATATATTAAATCTTTTTATATAAAAAGGGATTCGCCCAACTAATAAGGAAATCTAAGAAATAGTTTTGCAGTGGCTAAGGATTAGCAAACAGAGTGAATTGTCAACTTCACAGCATAGTATTTGTCAAGGATCGGTTGAATTCAACATTCATACTTGTTATGTTCCAGGCCACAAACAGAATAATAAGGTGAGTAACCAACACACTTAATACCCCAGGCTCACAATTTGGCAGAAGAAAGAGAGACTGAAGCAAATGTACAGGATGCATTATAGATTCTCAGGGAACTATAATAAAGGCAACAAAATGTAATGGGAAGACAAGGAAGGGAGAAGGAAGTTTCAGTGAACAACTCCGAACAACTGCTTATCAATAAATCTAGTTCAGGGAAGATTAGTGTTACTTTCACAATCCCAAAACTTTCTCTAATTTCTGTTACTTCTTATGCCCAAATTCACACTGACATTTTTAGAGCAGTTTATGAAAAGAGAAATATTTAGATCATAGGAAGCAAATGTGTCCATATCTACTCCTGTTTAAAATTTTTTTAACGTTGGGGCGCCTGGGTGGCTCAGTCGGTTAAGCGTCCGACTTCGGCTCAGGTCATGTTCTCGCGGTCCGTGGGTTCGAGCCCCGCGTCGGGCTCTGTGCTGACAGCTCAGAGCCT